AGTCTTTGTTTCTGAACTATCCTAGCCTTTCTCTGCATTTGTTCCAGCACAACACAGGGCTTCCATTTCTTTCCTCAAAGCTTTATACATGAAAGCCAGCATTACAAAGGTTCCTTCATGTACCTAAAAGTAAGAAGTGGTGTCCTTTGGGAGAAAATGATGAAGTGGGGATGGGTGTTTTGGGTGACAAAGTAAATTGAGTCACTGTTGTGCGAGTGGGTGGTACCAACCCTGTACAGTGCATACCCGAAACTCTAACAAAAGAACGGCGTAAGCAGATCTTACAAGATTAGGCCAGAGAGCGAGCATTATTTTCTTGACATTTGATAGAAGATAAAAATACGTCCATCATCTTCATGCAGAACAACCTTGCTAATTTATAGAAATAGGACATATCAAGATGCAAGGAAACCTGAATATAAGAAATAAACAAAAATCAAAAGATCAGCAGTTTGTGTTGGATGTTTTCATTTTTACAAATGTCAGTCAGCTTTAATTATTTATAACGCTTCACAGTACACTAGTAAATGCTGTCATATTTCATAAAATAATTAAGTTTTAGTAATAGGAGACACCTCTACCATCCTGTCTCTATTTAACATTTGTTGAGATGTGATGCGAGTCCTATGATCATCATCACATCTGTAAATAAACGAAGCAAAGCCCAAGGATGTTTCCTGTCCTTAAGTTTCTATTTTGGTCCAAGGATTCATCAGTAGTCCCAGGTACTCGTGTTCTCTGTCTCATCCAAACACATCAGCAGTGATGAGGCCTGTTGAATTGGGGAACTTCCCAGGATTTCTCAGCCATGACTTTTCCCCTGCAAATGCAGGAACAAAACCCACTCTGATTATCATTCTGCCCCCTTTTTGCCAGAACTACCAGCCACATATTGCTGATGGTGCGGGCAGAGAGGTCAGCTTGGTTCTTGGCGTGTTTGCAGACCTACCCACTTAACACGGGAAGGCACCAAGCAACTTTTCATGCCTGGTCAGAGAAGCACCAGGTGTGGAAGCTCAACCCACCCATTTCAAACAGAGACACCTCTGAGCGGATCTGGGCTCTAACGGGCACTGGCAAGATAAGAAAACCACCACCTCTGGCCACTTCCATTACTAAAAGTGAAACTCAGCATCTCCAGCTCAGGCGAGCCACCTGAGCCAAACAAGCACACCACCAGCCTGCTGCCTACCAGCAGTGGCCATTCCAAGGGTCTCCTAACAGCCCCAGTTTTGGGGAATCCAAGCCACATACAAGCAAGAATCCTAAAGTCTGCCATGCACAACATCAGGCAGCATTCCTCTACTTCGTCGAAGTGAAATTACGTTGCTCTAGACAAAGTATCCCCTAGTGACAAACGGTTGCCAAACGCCACTTGAGCTCTCACAAGAGGGCCATTAAAACTTCAGACTTACTTCTTTTTTTTCTTCCCAAGGCCACTAACCAAGATTAGATTCCTTGGATTTCTAGATAATAATTACTAAGAAATTAAAAACCAGTTTGCATTATTGATGGTTTGAGTTAGTTTTCTGCTTAGGTTTTGTTGTTGTTGCCGCTGTCTGCGTTTTGGATGTTTTACCATTTCTTTAAGCTTAAACAATTAAAATAACATGATTATTTTTCAGATGAATTTGCAAACACCTGCAGGAAATCTGCAGGGTGGAGCTTTATTGCCCAGGCTTTCTGTAGCAATAGCCTTTTATTGCACAAATATTCTTATTGAGCTTATCTTTAGTAATAGCTTAATTTATTGTAATTTCAAAAATTATTTGGAGGAAAGTTCATTTGTACCTTAGCTAAAAGAGACCGTAGAGTTCTTCACAGCACCCCACAGTGACAAAAATAACAATAAAAATTTAAAGGAAAGAAAATTTTGCCTATTGCTCATGTCACAACACCGAGTACATATCAGCCAGACCTAGCAATAGAGGAGGTAAATACAACTCCAAGAACCAGTCAATCTGCTGAGAGCATTTCTCTTTAGCAGGGATATATATTTGATTCATTTTTTCCCCCCTTCTCTCCAGTTGCCAATTTCTTTGCAGTGAATTTGAGTTCTATCAGTTTATGAGAAAAACATATTTTTCACTCTGAGTCCGTGGTTCAGATTTGTAAGCAGGAAAGCCAGAGTCTTTAAGATGCTTAATTCCAGATCTGTAGGGTAAAAAATAGCCCTAGAAATGGCTGTTTATCTGCTGGCATTCTGAAGTTCACATGCAGCTCCTACATAGTCTGTCCTCATTTAAGTGCATGAGGATGAAAACTCAGAGAAATGGTCGTCTTTTTCATTCGGATGGCACAGGGACCAGCTCTGCAAGACGCCCCTCACCAAGGAGGGGACACCCTGGGTTTCAGACTGTCTCCCTGCTCCCTACCCAGCCCCACAACAGGACAAGCAGTACCCTCCAGCTGTGGGCTGAGCTGCGGCAGCACCGCTGCTCACGGCGTGGTGTATCGGGAAGGGCAGGCACCCTGTCTGCAAATTAAGATCCGCTTAAGTAATGTGTGTTGGCAACACATAGACACGCACACAAACAGGCACGCTTTAAAGCCATTAACTCACGCACAAGCACAGATAAGTGGCGTATCCCCACTGCGTATGTATACATAATTATATCACATTACTGGAAAGAAAACAGCAAGCAGACATCTATTCTTAAAGGAATTAAGAGTGTTTGGTGCGGGGAAAAAAGCTTTGGGAGCATGGGATGTAAGGTGCTATGTGATGGCTGGGAACACAGCGAGGTCAATGGGGCTTGGGAGCTCCCTATGCAACATACCTGTAGGATTTACAGGAACTTTTTCCTTTAAATCAGAAAAACTTATGGCATGATACAGGGGGGGTACAAGCCTAATACATGTATTTGGCCACACAAATCCATTACATATTTGCCACAGCCATTTCTGTATTGTAAGCCACCGGCTATGCCCGTGCAAAATGTTGTTTTCTGAATCCTGTTGCTCAGATTTTTGTACACTTCTGGAGGCATCAACATGTTATGCATATGCAATAAAAACTATGTCATTAGTTAAATAGTTATGTATTACAATAAAATTCTTGCTGTTTAGCAACAAAAATAAGGAAAAAAAAGGATAATACTTTCAGCTAAATTCAGGTAAATCATGTTTGCATGATAGGGAGTGATTAACATAGAACTGGTATGGGAAATGTGTTTTTTCCCCAACTTTCTTTTTTTTCCCCCTTGTAGCAATACCTTGACCTCTCTTTCAGCCACGTATTTCATTTCTTCAGTTGTCAACAACAGAATTGTTACGTGCATTTGCAGATATCTGTATTATTTAAAACAAGTTCTAATTATGTTTTTTGTTGTTGTTTTTTCTGCTCATATAAATAAAGATATATGGGTGTTAGTCAATGTAACATATGTATGGAGAATCTTATATGAGCTGTTTGAAAGGCAGTGCAAAGCCGTGAATAACTTCCATTATACTAGTGGATAAGGGAGCCCAAGTACCACCAATATAAACAGATTTAAAAATATATATAGTCATTTACATTTACAAATGTATTTCAACACCATAATTTACAGGGATAATGGTAGCAATCTGGGGAGGCTGGGGGTTGCAGGGTGTGGAGAGCTCAGCAGAGGTCCTTTATGAAAGTATTCCGTTCTTCTATCTACTCCGATCATTCCCGTGGATAAATGAGCGCACACACATAATTTGTAGAAAATCAGTTCCAAAGGAAAAAGTGTGGAAATCTAAGGATACAAAGAAAAAGTACTTTCTTGTACGTAGTCTAAGTCAAACTGCATGAGTAATGTGCATCAAGAGGCACTTAGGAAAAGACTTTCTTATCTAAAGGTTCAGGAATTGTCATACACCTGCCTAGCTGGAGGAGGAGAAAAGCAGGAGGAAGAAGAAATAAACCCTGCATTTCTCCTACTAGCGTTTATTATAAAACCCTTACAAATATACACCATGCAGAAAACCTGAATACCCATGGCTGTAGCACACTTCTGGATAGCCTAGAGAGCAGGGTACTACAGATTTTAATATCCCCCACCTCTCCTCAGAAGGGGAAGATGTCCAAACTAACAAAATAAAAATGAAAACGTACAGCCTGAGTAGAAGCATCTCCAAAAACATGTGCTACAAACCCCATGACTTCTCTGCCAAGATGATACCCGTTAGCAAGCCTGCCTCGTTAACCATTACTTCAGTAGCCCACCTGCAGAATCTGCTTTTACCAGCAATAGGCAACATGCTGCTAAGCAGCACGAGGTAGAAAAACTAGCAGGATAGAGGTGCAAAAGTACCAAGAGGTTACTGGTGTAACGTAACGCCCTTTAGGTGTTCGGTAAGTTTCTCCTTTTCATATCACTCACCTTACTGAATCCTGGATCACCCTTACGAGGAGGTCTCCCTGCATAGATGCTTATATAAAACTTCAGCTCCGAAGAGTGTTTAATTACATCATTCTTAAGCCCTACCACATGCAGGGACTCAAACCATTACTAAGCTATCTCAGATTTAAGCTGACAGCATGAAAAAAAAAAAGTAACTCTGTGTCAGAGGAGATTCTTCTCTTGCCTACCTAAGCCTAGAAGCCCTCTTTCGCTGCAGAGAGGGAACGAGGAGCAGCTCGGTGCTTCCTATCCTCTCGGCTAAGAGCGCTCATCCCTAGCACGCTCCAGCTCCGGTAGCTGATGGCGTGCTGCCTCTGCAGCCAGAATTAGGTAAGACCGAAGAACTTTTTTTGCATCAAGCATCTCAGACGGCGGTGCCTGGCTGTCAGCAGCTGCTGACCGCGAGCAGATCGCCGGCGGTAGGAGCAGAGCGGCCAAACCCCCCCCCCGCCCACATCCCCACACAGGTGCGTTCCCAGGAGGAAGGAGCCGGTGTGCTCAGCACGGCGGGCACGGGATGGAGGCAGAGCGGCAAAAACGGCAGGACCTTGGTTATGAAAGCAGCGCCCTGCCCGTGCTCCGGCACACCGCCGGCACGGGGGGCAGCAGGGCACGGGGACCGGCACCCACCTGTAGGACACCTGCTTCCTGAAGGTGAGGCTCCGCAGCTTCTCCTCCAGCGACTCCTCGCCCAGCCCCGGCTCCTCCGGGACCCCCGCGGCTCCCACCGCTTCCCCGCCGCCCTCGGCCCCCCGGCAGCCGCCCGCCGCCCCCGGCTCCTCGCCGCCGGCCGCGGCGGGGGGGTTCATTGCGGCGGGGGGCCGCGAAGGAGGACGAGGAGGAGGAAAAGGAGGAGGAAGAGGAGGGTGGGGGGGGGGCGGCCGGGGGGCGGCGGGCGGCGGCTGCAGGCGCTGGGGCGCGGCGGGGGCCGGGGGGGCGCCGGCGCTGCCGGGGCCCCGGGGCGCGCTGCGAGCCGCGGCGGCTGCAAATGGCAGCGCGGGCGCGCAGCATCCATCGGCGGCCGCACCGCAGCGGGGCATTGTGGGAAACTCCCGGCCGCGGCACGCCCCCCCCCGGCACGCCCCCGCCGCCCGCCGCCAATCCGAGCGCGGGGACCCGCGGGAGGGACGCGCCCCGACACGCCCGGACCCCCCCCCCCGCGGGACGGGGACCGGGAGCGCGGCGGCCGCTTTGGGGGGGGGGCTTTATAATTAAAAAATTGGTTTGTTTTGTTTTATTTTATTTTATTTTATTTTATTTATTTTATTTTATTTTATTCCACTTTATTTTCTTTTCCTTTTCCTTTCTCTTCCTTTTTCTTTTCTTTTTCCTTTTTTTTCCTTTTTATTTTCCTTTTTCTTTTCATATTTTCTTTTCCTTTTTTCTTTTCCTTTTTTCTTCTCTTTCATTTTATTTTTCTTCATTTTCTTGTTCTTCATTATTTTCTTTTTCTATTTTCATTTTTCTTCTTTTTTCTTTTTTTTTCCTTTTCTTCCCTTTTCTTCTTTTTCTTTTCCTTTTTTTTCTTTTCCCTTTTTCTTTCCCTTTTTTCTTTCCCTTTTTTATTTTCCTTTTTTCTTTTCCTTTTTTTCTTCTCTTTCATTTTCTTTTTCTTCATTTTCTTTTTCCTCATTAATTTCTTTTTCTTCATTATTTTCTTTTTCTTCTTTTTTTTTTTTTTTTTTTTTTTCTGGGAATCTGCCTTTACATGCTCACAGCCCAAACAGCCAGCCCCACAGAGCAGGGTACTGTTTCCATCACAAACCTCACAGTGTCTCATAGTAAAATGACTTGACCTCCCACCACGTTGGCCCCATAGCCCACTGGGGGAAATGAAGAAAAACTTTGGAGGTGGGTCCTGTTTAAGCACATGAGCTAGCATTGGGAATGAGACTAAAAAGAATGGAAAAGATCAAGGTCTGGGGCTATACAAAAATTGTAGCACAAATTATGCTTTAAGTGCTTTATCTTCTGCATCCAAAACCCATCCAAGGCAAAGCGATGGAAAGAATGGAAAACTGAAAGAATAAATAAATAAATAAAAGAGGAGAAAACTGAACATAACTGCTCTCCTGAGAAGGCAAGCCCTACAGGAAAAGATTTCATGCATTTTCATGAATTTCCATTCCCCTCCCTCTTTGTGATACCTTTGCACCAGCACAGCCCGTGACAAAGCCCAGAAGCACACAGGCAAGCAGCATTTACGTGCTGCCGTAGGCACCAGAGTTACACCAGATGTTGCAACACCTTGGGTGTAAGTGAGCCAGCATTAAGCCAGTCAGTTGGCTCTTTAAACCTGAGCTTTGCTCCTCCTCCAAGCCTATTTAAAGTTTCAGCTTATCCATACTTAGCACACATCATGTGTACATCGCTTGCTTCGACTTCAGTAATGACAGCCTCCCCGAGCTGTCCAACCAATGTTTTCCCATCCCCTGTTGGCAGGAGAGAAGGGTGATGAAAAGTATCTCTCTTTGCTACACTTTGAGCATTTTAAAAGTTTAGGCAACCTTCAAAATGATATTCCATCCATATGCACGAAGGATCTATGTGCACACGCGTCCTCCAATCTGTACGTACATTTCCTCCCGCAAACACCAGACTACTTTTAGTTACTAATGAAGCACATGGAAGAAAGCACAGTTAAACAATGTAAAACATGGCTTCGGAGAAGCACAACTAAAGCTGTTGTGCAGAGCTGTTAAATTAAGGTCCGGATCCTGCTCTCAGCTGCGTACAGAGATCTGCAGGCCAGCAGGAGCTCTGCTGGAAGCTCCCCTGCCTCTTCCACGGGACCTCAGAAAGCCTCCAGATGAACTTGCAGGGAAGCTAGCAGCCAGTAGTGCTAGTGAAAGCATCCACTTTAAGAGCATGTGGCCACCCTTTTCACAGAAAGAAGCTACAACATTTTGGGATGGAACCAGAGATCTTTTCGGACCTACCCCAAAATCCAGCTTCAGGGACACGGAGCATTGCAGTAAGCCCTGCTCCAGTCACTTAAAGTGCCTTTGAGCCTTTGGTGTTGTTGAGAGCCATATGTGCTGTTGCTCTGGAAAGATGCCAGTGGCTTGTGCAAAAACACTTTGGTTCCACGCGCATTTTGCACTCAGAGAGCAGAACAGCGTGCCCCATCTCACAGCCCTGCTCCTCTTAGCCCTCGCTCCATGGGAGAGCAGCTCCGTGGGCAGTGCCCCTGCAAACCGCTCCTGTTGCCCCCAGGCACTGGTGCAAAGCCCAAGAGCAAATGAGTTTCCAAACCCTCCTTCAGCCAGCATCCATACCAGTGAGCCACATGCTCCTGTCCCAGCAAAAAACATATTGTGGCTCCTGCTCATTGGTAGCGCCCGCTGTGTGCTGGGATTACCTGCTTTGCCTCCGACTGCTGCGATTTGCATGACTCATTTGCAAGGTGAAGTCATAAAGCAACTTCCTATACCTTTCACTGAATGTGAGCGATTGTGAGCGAACCCGAGGCTGGGGATTAAAGCCCTGCTCACACAGCCACACCTGCGGCACAGCTGGCCACCGTGGGGGTTTTAGGCAGGCAACGACTGCAAAAACTTCCTCAAATTCCCTCGTAGGTGTGCCTGCAGACCTACTGCTGCACCGGGGGGGGAAAGAGGAGCACAGAGATAGATTTCCAGCAGGTTTTGGCAATATCTGGGAGCGCTGTGCTGGCAAAAGCTTGAAGTCCCACAGCAGGTATCTCGTGCCTCGAGCTGGCTCAGTGGCGGGGCCCCCTGCTCATCGGGGGAGCTGGTGAGCTTTGGTGTGTAGCAGGCGCTTCTCCTGGGGGGACCTTACAGCAGGTGGATGGGGGAATGGAGCAGGAAATGCTGAGGAAGGAGGGAATTCAGCCTTTTGGAGTCAAGCCAGGAAAAGGAGGTTTATTCCGTCACTCACGTGCCTGCTAAAGCCTGTCCTGAACACCCCAGTGTGCACAGGCTGATGAGTTTTATTCAGAAGGGGAAGGACTGAAAATCTAATTCCTAAGAGTAAATAGGTGAAAATATGAAGAAAAATAAAAAGGGAGGGGGGAAGAAAGGGGTGAGATAATCTTACATGGTTGGTGTGCCAGGCTGGCCGGGGAGATCAAGCCCAAGAATTCACCAAAACAGCTTAAAGGGGGGGGTAACCAGATCCTCAGCACCATTTTGACCAAAGGGAGACAACCCAGCTGCCGTGGATTTGCTCTGCAATATTTTTTTTTTTTTTGTCAGTTGTGTCCCAGCAAAGATAAGGGCCAGGCCATGCATCTTCCTCCTTACTGGAGGTACTCAGAAAAGATAGCTTTATAGTAACGTTTACAGCGTTTGCAAATACAACTTCAGAGTAACTCAATTATGAAAAGTTAAACAAGTCGTTCCTTATAACATGGCTCCTGTGGGGAGTGCTCGAAGCCCTTGTGAGACAGCACCAAGACATTGAGAAGTCAAATCATCCGCTTCAACTTTTTGAAGCACAGATCAGAGGGAGACAGGGCACACAAGCATTATTCGCTCTACGTGAAGCAAAATATGATCTTGTTTTTAATTACTAATTCCACCAGATCTCCTTTCTTTGGTTTATCTTTATGTAGAGGAGAAAGCCATTATCGCCCTTTCACAGACCACGAAACTGAAGCCCAGAGAAGAGTCGGCCAAGTTCCCCGCACACCATGGGCAGGGCTAGGCCCAGGAGCTCCTTTCCTCAGTCCCTGCCCTTGCTCTCTACATGACTACCGCAGAATAATTTCCTTTATGGCAAAGGTGTAGGCTCTTCCTCACTGCTTCTAAATTCCCGTCTAATGGGGTCTATTTTTCTAAAAAGCCCCAAGCAAACAAACAAGGAAAGAGAGCACTGCTAATGCATCCACCACAAAATATCTGCAGGGCTGAAGTCCGTGGGATTATAAAACAGGCATGAGGCTTGTACAAGAGCAAAGGATGGAGATTCGCTACCCAAACCATGCTGGGATGGGCATGTGCAAGCTGCACTGCATCCTTCCTCCTGCCTCGCAGAGGGAATGAGCCTCAGGACGAGTGTCAGCGCCCTGAATCCAAGCAGAAGCAGGCTTTCCAGGGAACAGCACGTACCGAGGGGTGAGAGGTAGTGAGCACGACACCTCATCACCCGGTGTTTCTCCACTGGATGCGTGGGTTTCTTTTTTAATCACAGGCTCCCTGCGGCTTCACCCGCTGTATGGTGCTGTAAGGGCGATGCTGAGGCCCGGCGAGGTTTTTAACCCATTGTTAATCCCCCGCTGGTGTTTGGTGTTCTCGGAGGAACTGAGCTCGGATAAAATGAGGCTGAGGGTGACTTCCACAAGCAGTCACGGTCTAACGATTTCCCTGTAAAAATGTTTTGCGAGGCTCGATGCTGCTAACAAGTGCCCTGGATCGATAGCTCTGGCCTGTGAAATTATCTGCTCAGAAAGCAAGGGGCATCCAGCAACAGAGAGACGGCGGCTGCAGCGCTCTCTGAAACAACAAGAGCAGAGAAAAGGAGCGGGATGCAGATCTGGAAGGGCAAATCAAAGCCCCTCTCTCCCCACATCCTTCGTGGCAGAACCGGGCTCCACCTTGAAGACCGTTCCCGTACAGCGCTGCACAACGACAGCGTGTGAGATGGGGCAGACCGAAAGGACGGGACAGACAAAACGATGCCTCTCGCTCCAATCTCCTTCTCTTCTGATATGAAGTGGCGGTGCCCAGCAAAGGCAGTCCTCGGGTTAAAGCACTGGTGTCCGGATTAGGAGAGAAGAGCTATTTTTTGCTTCACTGCAGATTTCTTGTGCTACCTTAACCTCTCTGGCCCCAAATCAAGGCATTTCTGAAAATCTGCATCAGCCACAAATTCAGTGTGGGCCAGGGTGTTCCCGTGTTCATGGTACACTGCCTGCCGCAGCCTCTACACGAGATGCTTTAAGAGGCCTCAAAAAGGAGGCACCAAACCCATTTGTCATGCTCCCATGGTCAGTTCAGCAAAATTGGAACCGTTATTTCCATCGCTGGCATTTTCTGCAGAGGATGAGCTCTGTGTTGCCATTTTAGAGATGCATCCTATTGGTACACGAGGTCCATTTCCTAGTAGAAAACTGGCAGAGCGCAGGCGACCACACCATTTGTGAGAGCAGCTCTGCAAATGGTGACAGTCACATCTGCACCAGGCCATCCACTGCCAAATTCACCCCATTGCCAGCACAGCCAGGGGGAAGGGAAGGGAAGGGTGAAGGGAAGGGAAGGAGGAAGGGAAGGGAAGGAAGGGAAGGGAAGGAAGGGAAAGGGAAGAAGAAGGAAGGGAAGGGAAGGGAAATGGAAGGGAAGGGAAGGGAAGGGAAGGGAAGGGAAGGGAAGGGAAGGGAAGGGGAAGGGAAGGGAAGAAGGGAAATGGAAGGAAGGGAAGGGAAGGGAAGGCGGAGGCCAGATCTTTTCCAGCCAGCAGGAAAGCAAACAGGTGATACTTGCTTTTTCTACAGAAAATATTTATTTGCAAGAAATGAAGAGCATAACATACTTAACTACATACATGTTCAGGCTACAAAAGCAGGTAGTCTGTTCTCTTGTAGAACTAAGCCGACAATTTAAAAGGAAAAAAAAAAAAACAAACAGCAATTTCTTTACACCCAATGGACATGTTTGCAGTGTGAAAAATCAAGTGGGCACACATCCAGATGACAGCGCTTGTACAAAAATAGAGAGGCCACTGAGCACACATACACAGAGTTAAACAGGCTGTTGGAAAAGAACGGGGATATCTGCAGTCAGAAGAGGCTCCAATGCAGTTTACCAAGGATTTTGGGTTGCAGGGGTGCTTTTGTATTCCTATCACTGTCTTTTTTATTCAAAATAGATTTAAGTTGTTTGTACAAACCCATACTGTGTTCACGTGTACAGAGGGAAAGGGAAAGATCAGCTGAAACTTTTTAGGGGTGTTACACGCAGAATGACTCAGAGTCACACGGTATTGTTTTTCATGGCCCCAGGCAATGGTTTTTTACCTTCAAGAGGGTAACATCAGGTAACTTGCCCTGTGGAAGGCACAGCAAAATCTCAGCGGAGGTTGATGTACTCACACCACGGACACACCAGCCCCAGAGACCAACTCTCCCTCTTCCCCGAACCTCTGGTCCCCCTGGGCCATTTCTTGGCTAACTTACAGCTTTGAGAAGAAAGCATTCGAAAGCAGAGTTCTGCACAACAAAAATGACACCCGAAGACTAGATACAATTTTTTTTTTTTTTTTGCACCACGCCAGAGCTGTCCTACAGACAGGCCAGTCTGTGCACACACACAAAAGGGCAGCACAAGTTTCAGCTGACATTTGCTAACAAGACAGACATCAGACAGCAATGCACAGACGGATTTATGAGTGCTTGTTGGTGAGGAATGTGAGCCGGTCTCGGTCTTGGAAAGAAACACCCGGGGTTTCTGTTGCACCAAGCGGAATGTGCCCGCGGCGTTCAGGTGAACACCTTCATGTAGGGACACTTACTGCATTAGGAAACAACTCTGCATTTGCGTGGTTTTTCTCTTTTTTTTGTTGTTTTTGTTTTTAACTGCTTACCATGCACACATGCACAGACACAAGCACTCACACTCATTCCTGCTGACAGTGCAAACAAAGACAGCGAGATGCCATTACTTCAACACCAGTGAACTCAAATCTGATGGGGCAAAGTCAGGCATAAGCACAGTTCTATTAAAAAAAAAATTGGCCACTGCCTCTGCTTCCCCCTCTACCTCCTCCACTCCCTTAATTACGGGATTCTGAAGTGCAGAAAGATTTTTACCTGCCGGTTGGAAGGGAAAATGGGATTCAATACAGAGGTCAGATAAGCATTCATTTTACCTAAAAAGGACTGCACAGTGTTGAAGAGCAAGGGGAAAAGTAGAGATTAAACAAGGGGGGAGCTAATGTAAAAGACTGTCATTGCTGCTTTAAGGAATTAAGAACTAGGAAGTTTCCCTGGGATGTCAGGAGTCCTTTCATCTGCCATTTCTTTCATCTTTTCTGCAAGACAAGTTTACAAATCCAGCTTTCCCGTGTTTCATTCTCACCTATACGGTTTCATCTCTTGGGGAAAAGTACAGAGATGGGCTTTAGGGCAGAGCAGGGACTGCTGGTAATAGCTTAAAATAATATACAAACTCCATTTCAGCATTACAAATGAGTTTTCTGAGACATACTCTTCTAGGAAGGAAGTCAGTTCAGGTGTATACGCTGGTAAAGCAGAAAAGGCTCGACACTATAATTGCAAAAACAAATGGCAATCCCTCTCTCAGCCCCGGAGTTGGATGGTGATCCCCTAAGCATCCTGGCCCATTGACTGAATCCTTACCTCTCATTTATAAAGACCTTAACATCTAAGTCAGTTCTCACACCTTTGCAGTCCCTAGTTGTTTATCCTTAACACCGCAGCACAAAGCAGCCACCTCACAGCACCAGGCTACTTATATAGGCTACTACAACTTTTGTAGCTACAAAGGACTGACCTACCATTTCACCTTCAGAATACAAAATGTTCCCTATCTAATTAGCGACTTGAGAAAGAAATATTTTAGTCACTAAGAGTACAAAAATACTCCGTATGCTTCTGTTCTTAGCTGCATAGGCTTTGTACAACGGCCTCTTGGCATTAGCTAGAATCTAGAGCCCAAATACTCAGTGGAAATCCCTCCCAACATAGCAATTAGTATCATTCATTTACTTGACCCACATTCTAAATGCGTCTAGACAGAATTCACCACTGATAGTTTGGGGGGATGGGGTGGAGAGGTAGGGATTTTTAGCTAGGGAAAAAAAAAAAATCAAAATTTTGGGATTCTACATTAAAGAAATCAAGAATAAGCTTGTATTGAGATACACCTATACAGAGCAATATTGAAGAGGTCCCCTGCCAGTATGGACCTGCAGCCTCTGAAATTGGTAAGTGAGAAGCATGCTGCGCTGCATCAGCTGGGAGCTGGCCGAAGAACCTCAGCCTAATCCATTACTGGTCTGTGTTGCTGGAAAACATTGAATGGTATGGATGAAATAAGAGAAATGCAGCAAAGAACTATAAATAGCCTTGAAAAAAAAAAAAAGAAAAGAGCAAAAACCAAACAAAAAAAAACAAAACACCAACATTATCTACACACTGGTAACAAGGTTAGAACTGTCACTTGCCCTGTGCTTGACACTTCTTAAATATATATATATATAAAATAATGCCCTACATTCCATTGTAGCTTATCTCCCTAGAAGCAAAGACCTGACAGATCTAGACATGCTTTAAAGCTATGGGCCAAAAGCTAAGATTACTTGTGTGAAATCACACTGCCAAGCTGCACAGAGTTATGGCTAAAGACTCTGAGGATCGCTTAAGTCTTCTAGTGGAAGTGGAAATTGGGCAGCACACGAAGCTTCTGCCTGCCCTGTCCACAGACACGTTGTTGTGCAGCACTGAGCCACCGGGCACTGCAGAAGGCATACTGGCAGAAGGCAAAGACCTCACGTAATATTGCTGAGCTAACGATAAGCACTTACACCAGCATCGTTACTCCAGCGACAGCAGGTCTTTGTCGCATAGCAGCCTACGGATGGGTGATGGCAGGAGAAACTTTGGCCCCTACTACCTCCAAGAGAAACCTGCTCTATTAAGACCCCTGAAGAAAAAATGATCACAGACATACCAAAGTCAAGCGAAGGATTTCCTTATTCTAAAGAAGTAGTATTTCATGATAATAAATCCACAAGTAATGTGTGTGCTAGCTCAAGAGATTCCCAAGAGTACCTAAAAATCATTTAAAGGATGGGTTGAGTTAAGATTATAGAAGTAGATTATTAAACAGTTACAAGAAAATTGGTATTGCCATACTGGTTTGGATGAATCAGTTCAGTGGTGTGACCCAAATCGTGGCCAATTTAAAATGCTTCAGATGAAAACATGACTATCTCCCAATCAGATTTGTACCAATAGGTCCAAAGCAAACACGAAGGCAAAGTTCCACTGGTGACTACTGTAGTAGCTTTCAGAGAAGAAGGGGTTGTTTAGGTATTGCAAAACTGTCTGTCCTTAAAGTATTGGGAAATAATTCAATTTTGTCTTTAAGACAGTGAAGTCAGCAGTATTTGCAATGAAAGGCGATCATTTAGCTGGCAGTGGGCATGAGCTCAGGCAGCTTGGCCTCCTCTTTATGCGCAGTGCAAGCTGCAGCACAATTAACAGCAGTGTTGTGCTTGACAGCTTGGTGCTTCTTTTGCAGAAGACTTAAGCATTCAGTTTCACTCAGGCAAACCATGGGTGCTCTGAAAAAAAAAAAGTAATAGAAAGACCATTTAAGGGATTTTCTAAGCTGTGACCTTGCCCACTTACATGGGCCAGCCATATTATAGTGGAAGGGTCAGTCCTGGCTTTCTCCTGTCACTTTGCTGACCTCATGTGGCTAAACTATGCAGCCATCCCTTGTGTCACCTTCAGTGGCACCCACCAGTGTCCATTATTTATGTGAAGCCATTGCTCCAAAAAAACATCCAAACATCATTGGTGGATGCTGGAATGATACAGAGGACCCAACAGGATCACTGTGAAGAGAAAGAAGCTTTAGGGAGGACACTGAGCCATGATGAGCGGGGAACTCTTGCGAAATAGACTACAGTGGCATCCTTCTCTCATTTCCACCAAAGGTAAAATAATAAAAAGGCACTTGCATAGATGAATTGGGCATAAACTAGAAAGAGTGTCTGCACACCAAAACTCACCATTAGCTCACGGAATCAGGCACACGTTTCACAATCACGAATGTGAAACACCTTTTTGAAATGGCACAGTGGGGGTTGATCCAAAGCCCACTGTAATCCACCAGATTCTTTCCACTCCCTTCACTGAGCTTTGAGTCAGGCCTAAAGGCAGGCAGCAAATGGGATATCAAAGGGAAAAGGTCTAAAGAGAATGAAGAACAAGGAAGGAGCAGGTATGGCAGCTGCTGTAATAAAATACAAATCCAATATTTTACAAAATAGAATACTTGCAGGAAATATCTACTGTACATAGTAAAAAATTACTTGTAAGGCTAGGTTAGTTTTTCCCTTATTTATCACAAGAAAAAAAAAAAAAACTACATTTTTTTGTGTGTGTTTTTGTTGTTTTTCATTTTTTTTGTTTGTTTGTTTTTTTAATTGACTTCTGGTAAACCATAAAGTAGCTATGCTAGCCCGCTGAATTAGGATTTCCCCATTAAATCCATCCTCAATGGAGTCTGAGTGCCCTTCTGAGCAATCAGATAAAACCCAGCCCAAATCCTGGGCTAGATTTGGTTGTGCCAATCCAAGGATAAATTGCAAAAAGCACAGCTCAGACAAAGGCATGAGCAGGGTACCAAACGGACACAACCCTTAAAAGCAACAGCTATATGGGACAAGAAGGAAACACAGTGAAGAAAGAAGTGTACTGGACCAGGATCAAATCTGAATACCGCTCTTGGCTTTTCCACTAGACTTGGGCCAGTCGCTTCACCTCCCCGTGTGCCTTTCTCAGCCCTCTTTTGCCCTGTCTGCTGCCTGCATACTAAACTCTTCAGGTCAGGGACTGTCTTGCCATGCAGTCACCTCCAGGCCTGAACTGTACACATCTTTCTGGCTAAGCAGTTGGTCTGAGATCACAACTCTGGAAAAGGACATAAGAAGAGGAGACCCATGACATTATTCTAGGGTGATTCAAGTTGGAGGTGGGGAGGAGGAGGAGTGGGTGTTCAGTGATATTTGTATGTCCAATTTCAGAGCTTGCCCAGACCATATGCAGGGTTAGGGAAGGTTAATTCTCTTCATTGTGACTGCTTGAACAAAATCTTGCAAAGCTAATAAATACTATTTACAACAGTAACAGGAAGATGGCAAGAAAAAGAAAACACAGGACAATCTGAGACCTGGTCTACATGAGAAATTCCATCAACACATCTAGAAGCCAATAAATAAAATCCATACGGTGCTCTCAGGAGGCACTTCTGGTTTAAGCCTTATATTGATTAAGTTTGTTGGGAAGGAATTGATCCAAACTAAACAGATTAGCCTTAAGTAGACTAAAGGACATCCACCCAAAACATTACATGAAGTTAACAAAACCTGCTTTCTAAATAGATTTAGTTAAACTAGTCTAATTCTCCCACACAGACGAAGTGTGACAAGACAGTGACTGATCTTTGCTTGAATTCCACATGGGTGGAAGCAGTAGAGATGCCTACCAGGACTGCTTCCAACCCAAAGAAAAAGCTACTCCACTAAATGACAAAGGGGTTGGTGGGGAGAAGAGTGGAAGATGTAAGGGAGGACAATGCAGCACCATCATTGCCCACCCCTCTCCTGCCTGTGCTGTTCACAAAACAGAACTGGGGCCCGTTCTTGTGCCTTCAGAGCAGATGAAGCACATGTTTCTCAATCTTCCCCAAAAGGCTCAAATGCTACAGACCAATAGGCATGGAGCTGTGGCTAGATTCCGAGCAGCATCGTGCCACCTCTCCTGTTTCTCTCAATTACCTTCTCCCAAGGATCCCATCACCCACATGCTCCCATCGGTTTTGCGTATTCCACTCTTTCACCAAATGTCTTTGTGCACAGATGATGACGTGTACATGCAAGCACAGGCACACATACACAAATCAATCATCAGCACACTGCTGGTATCTTCTGCAATCATAACTCAATCCTGCCCTTGCAATATCAGACAGGAAAGAAATAAAAGCAAAGAGGGATTGTGTGTGAAGTAAGGAAAGGAGTTACAAGACAAGAGATCCCATCTGCAGTCACAGCCTCACCAGTCAATGCAGAATTTGGTGAACTCCCTCTCTTTTGTGCTTTGGTTCACTGAGGATGACAAGTCAGGGGGACTTTGGTTGAAAATATGTGGGAAAGAGGGAAGTTGAGAAAAAAGGCCTTTTTATTTTTAAGAGGTGGCATTGACTCTTCTATCTATTTCAATTATCTTCAGTGTTTCATTTCCTTCTATTTCAGAGTTGACTCTGTAGGAAAAAAAAAAACAACAACAACAAAGGTTAACACTAATAGTTAGTCATTTTTAAAAGCACATATCCTGCTCAAATTAGCTAATGCTAAAAAGGCGCTCGGTATTTATCAGGTACCCGTCAGTTGGAGCATGGTAACACATTGAATTAGTCATCTCTTTGGCCCTGGGTATAACTTTGACACAAATGCTCAGAAGGCATGCTTGGTGTGATATGGCTCAACCTAGGCCTCTGAAAAGCATACTTCTAAACACAACCCACCTCCACCGTTTGGTGTGCTTGCTACTGCTTGTTAGCAGAGACCAAGACCTGAGCCATCAGGACAGTGGTGGGACAAGCAAAGGTACAGTGGAAGGAGAACTGCACCCACATATTTAAACCAGTAAATCTGTCTTTTTGCAGAGGCTCCAAACACAAACTTACGTTAAAAATAAAAAATAAAAAAATGAAGGAAGGAACTCCATGCTAAGAAGTTCAGATAATAGATTTGCCTTTTAAGTCTGAATCCTGCAAACTTTCTGCAGCATGCATTAGTAAGATCACTGCTGTGAGAAGCTCCAGCTCTTCACACCCTAACCTCAACAAAGCCCAGTGAGTCACAGCCTCACACTTCCACCCAACTGGTAAAAGCTTATTCCTTTAGGAGACACGCAACTAAGTGCTTAACGAAGCGGAGTGGGCATAACTAACAAGCCTACAAGGGCTAGGTTTCTGGTAGAAGCACTGAGCTTGGCAGCTTTGTTACTAAAATATTGTTGCAATCACTTCTCCAAACCAGAGTAGCAATACTTTTGTCTACAAGCTCCCCAGACAGAGAGTTCAAACTCCTGTTTCACAAGCAGCCCATCCGGCACTCACCTGTGCTGCTGCAGGCCCAGCAGCACTGATTTCTCTAGCCTCGTCTCGTTGGCTATTGTGAACTCCATGATATCATCCCGCTGCATCCCCGGCACAGCTTCCAGAGCTAGCGCCGTGTACTTGGAGCTGTCTGCGTGCCTGTCGTTTCGATCTGCAAAGGAGATTGGGCTTGACGACTCCTCTAGCTGGTGAGGCTCTTCATATATTAGCAGACTCCTTGATCTCACTGCATATAGACAGAAGGGAAAAGAGAGGTGAGAAGGAGGCAGGTCAAAGAGAACAGCCTTGGTCATTTCAGGAAATGGAAACCGTCAGAGCAGAACTAGAGCTGCAAAGGTCTTGTCATTGCAATTAACTGGGTAGGTTGATAGCAGTGGGAAGATACCACAGCAGTGGTCCGAACAGGCATCAAAAAGCTCTGAACTCTTCCCAGAACAAGAGCGAAATGAAATAATCCTTTAATAACATACGTTTAAAGCAACTTGTTCTGAACTGGTATGCAATACGAACAGCTTCTCACTCAGTCCTTGGACCTTTAGTTGACACTGGCAAAGGAAGCACCAGCTGACAGCCCCTGTGTTTCCTGACAGTACGAACAAGTGGTACAGAGCAGAAAGCAAACTCTCCTGCTACCTTTTACAGACTACTAGCCTTAACTCCTCCAACAGAAACATAAAAGCTTTATACAGAAGTACCAAGCAGGCTAGTGGAGAAAGGCTTTGCTCATCTTTATGAAGTCTGCTGCCATCAGCACACTTTGCCAAGCTATCTTTCTTTGATATATATCCTTCTTCTATATCAATGCATGGCCAGCTAAGGAGCAGAAAAACAAGAGGTGCTTGGGGATGGCTGTGGGGATGGGGGTGAAAAACAAATGCCGAAGAGCAAGACTGAGGTGGTTGTCACTTACCAATGGAGTCTGTGTAGGACTCTGGTGAGGAATGTTGCCTGGGCAACACCATCTTTGTAGCAGAAGGATATGGCCCATAGCTCTGAGAGAAGCTGCCAAAAACTACTGCAAAGCACAGCACCACCATCTGGCAAAGGGAAGAGGCATAAGAGGTTAATTGCACCACCTCTTGGCCCATACAGTACACATCAAGACTAAAAATCAACACAAAGCAGATCTCATAGGTCTTTGAAACAAAAGAGACTTGAGGCTATTTTCATCGCTATCTACCATGCCTCTTAGCAAAGGCACATACACAAGAACAATTCAGTGCTTTAATGCTGGGGTTTGTTTTCAGTGTCTGCCATCATTTTGGCCTGTTGCCTTATTTACTCCCAAAGTTGAAAAGCAGACACAACCGCCATGTGTGTTTTACAGATACTGTTGGGAATTTCCGAGGTTATTTCTGCTGCTGGCCCCAGTCTTGCTTCAAAGTGACAGAGAGGCTGGCAGCCGATGAGAACAGCATAGGCCTTGAATATCATTTCCATCAATTTATAGCACCAGCATAAAGGGAACTTGCTGGCTGGGTGTAAGGTAGGAAGAGCTTCATTCTAACCCTTTTCATATCCTGACAAATATTACTGAAATAGGAGAGAGGTAGATTTACAGCCTCAGTCATATTTTCATTTGGATGAAAAGGTTTATTTTTACTGGTATCTGAAAATCCAAGCATCAAAGGGCACCTGTGTTTTCATTTTACAACTCTAGACACCATTTCTCACATAAAAAACTGTAGGAAATAATAAAACAGGTTACTCAGAGGAGCAGTGCTGCTTCTTTCATCACTGCAGCACCCCACCAAAAGCACAAGCCCAGTCTCCTCCAGAATTTAATGCCCATTAACAATCATTAATTTTCATCAGCCAGGACTCTCACCTATCTCAAAATTAAATGTCAAATTATCAAGAGAAGTTTCCCAACCTGAGCATTTGGAAGTGAAGGGCTTCACAGAACAGAGGATGTGCCTTTGAGCAGTGGAAAGGGAAACTCATTCCCCTACAACTCCCAGTTTTAGGGAATACTCACCATAAGACAGGTCCCTGTCTGCGTGCTAGCTGCCTTACATGAACGGGACACCTTTCCAGCAACCATGGCTTGGAGTCTCTGCAGCTGCTGCAGAAGTGTTCTGGAAAGCAAAGATGAGGCATGACCATCAGATGTAGTGATCTACTTGCTGGTTATACAGCTTTTTGCTTCAAATTCCACACCTGGCAATAATGCATTTAGTTCTTGTGACAAGGTACAGATAATTAAAATCACCACATAAGGAGTGTTTCTAACTTTTACAAAGTTCTTGCATGCATTAGCGATGAATCTTTCAAAAATATATTTTGCCTTTCCCCCAGCTGATGTCCCCGAACAATGATTAATTTACCTTTTTCAGAAAGTTATTACAAATAAAAACTGCTTCCAGATTCTCTACGGGAAGCGACTCTGGTAAGTGTACAAACAACTAAAACTCTCTCCATGCAAGTGACTGGCTGCTCATATCGCCTAGTTCTATAGCATGAATTGAATGGGAGCTTCACCATTATTTGAAATGGTGCAAAAGCAAGCTTATAGTTGCTGTAGTTGATGGTAGAGGTATATACTTCTACACCTTTTTTCTGAAAATGCCCTGTACAGTAAATTGCTTCATTTTCAAAGAAAGGGATTTAAAACACACACTTTGTTTCCCACAATTTCATTTAATAAATATTTTATTGCAATTTGTTAAAACCTCCAGGAGTTTACGAAAACCACAGTTGCTTGAAGCAGCTATTCTGACTGTGCCGTTCAGAGGTAACCTTAATGGTAATTCTGTTCTGGATGGAGTCAACAGTCATGGACCAGGAAGGTATTCTTCTGCTTTTCTGACTATTTTTCTTCTGCTGTAGCATCATTACTTGCTACAGTCAGGATATTAGTCATTCAAGACGGCAATGATCTCAAAGAATAAATGGTGTAGGGTTTTCACAACTGTTTCCATTAAAGCTTTTTTTTAACAGAGAAGGAGTAACCCAAATGCCTGTCCTCATCACAGATATAGTACTATTTTGCCTCAGGATGTTAACTTTGCTGTTTGTTTCCAATTTTACCTTTTGCTTCTCTTGTACGTCTCACTACCTATTGCTGAGGGTAACCCTCACAAAACTCCAGGCAACAGCTTTGGAGACCATGACGTCAAATGCTAAAGCAAGAAGCAAGGTTAGGGTGTCAGAGAAAATAGAAGGTTTATTTTAAGATCAAACCAGCTAAAAGCTAATTGTAGGACAGACCCAGAGGTGCCTTTACAGCTCAATATATACTTGTCTGCCTATTATTATAGATTTTTTTAATCATCAATGATCATTGCTAATTAGGGTTTAATGAATTCAAGGACTTCAGGAATGCATTCTGAAATGAGCACAAGGCACTACAGCACATTTATCTGGGCCAGCAGATCCTTCCCAACTTATTAAGGAAGGATGTCTTGCATGCTCTTGAGAGCACCCTTTATTCTGCAACTCAGTATTAAAAAGAAGAAAGCAGGTTTCCTTTTTTCTTCTTCAGTCCTTTATTCACAGTTAGAGACCACAGGCAAATTAAGAGATGGAAACTGCATCCATCACATAGATGAGACCAGCCTAATGCTCTGCTCCCTGCTACCATTTCTCCCCAGTGTCTCCCTTCCGTCCACTTCATGGCTTAGGGGTCACACAGACTTGCATACAAGCTATGTATCATCTTCTGGCACCGAAGAAACTATTCCTTCCATATGCCACGTTACACAGCAATGCCTTTTTAACCCTGCAATCTCTGAGCTATTACAGAAGACTAAATCCCCCCCAACCTGCTTCAGGCCTGAGTCACTGCGCTTGACAGAGAACAGCTCTGAGGCATGAGAGGAAGGAGCTCTCCTCCTCCCCAGCTTGGGGGCTGGCAGCAGCAGCAGACTTGAAATACAGATCACTCCTGCCTCTTTTTGTGGAGGCGTCAGTGAGAAAACAGTTAATGGCTGTTGGGGATATCGACAGAGAAGAGGCGATTCTCCTCGGTTTTGCTCATCTCTGCCTTTTTGTGTCCAATTTAAAAAACCTGCTGGGCAGAGTGGGCCCAGAGAGCTGACACCAAAACACTCTTGTTGCGGAAAGTGTAATTAAGTAGGTATTTGAATCTGAAATGTTGGAAGATTGGATTCCAGGATGTAAAGACCTTTCCAGCACACCAGCTGCCTTCATTGGTACTGGATGGCTACAGGCTACAGGGATGGTCTGGACTAAGAAGAGAGGACCAAGGAGCAGTTCTCCACTCTGAATAACAAGAACTTGGGTTATACTGTTTCCTCTAAATATCATCAGGAAGGCCAAGAATGCTCTTAGTGCCAATGGCTAGATCCTAACAGGAGAAAATACAATCCCACGGCAGCGTGTATAAGGGGCTTTGCACCCACAAGGATTATTTTCCACTGTGTCTGACACATTTCCCAGTGATATTCAATTAGAGGGTCACCTCCGTAGGAGGTGTGAAATGTGCTTTCACGCTTTTCCCTGCCAAGGGAAGCACCTCAAAGGAAAGCTGTAAAGTGACTGAAGACTCCTGCTCTCCTTTCCAGCACTCCCAGCAAATCCACTCTGCCCATGATGTCTTATTTTCATGTGTGAATTCACGTAATTATCTTCAGAAGGACCCCTTTCACTACCAGAGTGAGGAACAAGTCAAGGCTTCCCCTCTGCTTCCAGTGACACTTTCAGTATGAAGAAGAAATCTGTCACTGCAGGACCTAGCCACCTGCGAAACTTCCTCAATACAGTATGTAAATTTAAAATCCAACATTGATTTAAATAACAGCAAATAGCTTCTAGGGGAAAAAAAAAACAATGTTTATTTTGACCTTTTTTACTTCAGAGAATGTATCTACTTTGCGAAGCACAAAACTTATCATAAATGATTAAAAAGCAAGAAAAATATTCTCTTTCTTTCAGCTCTACACACAGAGTCCTTCTCTGCCTGTCCTATTTGTAGGACAAAGCAAACCCCAAAGTAAGGTTTTCATTTAAAGACCGAGAATACCTCAAAGGAAAAATAAACCCAACAACAACAACAAATCATGATTCTTTCTGTTTTGAATTACAAAGGAAAAAAAAAATCACGGCATTTTTTCATCAGTGTTGCTTCAGCACGAAAACACTGTCCTGCTGCTTTCAAAATAAAGAGTTGGGTCCAGGGCTGTCAAGCTTTGTCAGCTGTTATGGGGGTGGTCTGAAGCGAAGTGCAAGATGTCTCACTGTATGTAAATCCAGATCCTTCTCGTCTTGAAACAAGACTTGGTTAAAGGGATTTATCAGCCTCAAATGAATGAAGGGCCATGTAAATCAGTACCTTTCAGTACCCTAAAGGGGGCCTCCAGGAAAGCTGGGGAGCGAGTCTAGGTCAGTGAGTGTAGTCATAGGACGAAGGGTAATGGCTTCAAACTAAAAGAGGGTAGGTTTAGATTAGACAGGAAGAAATTCTTTACTGTGAGGGTGGTGAGGCACTGGCACAGGCTGCTCAGAGAAGCTGTGGATGCCCCATCCCTGGAGGTATTCAAGGCCAGGTTGGATGGGGTTTTGGGCATGCTGGTCTGGTGGGAGGTGTCCCTGCCCATGGCAGGGGAGCTAGGATTGGATTGTGTTTAAGGTCCCTTCCAACCCAAACCTTTCTATGATTCTGTGATTGTCTATTTGTGATAATAATATTTATGCACTCAACCATATGCTAATTGCGTCCTATTTCTATCTACTTCTCCAGGAGAAGTGAACATCAGTGTACTTATTTATAAATATAGACTTAACAGAATTGAAAAAGAAAAGTACATCTCACATGTCATACACACAGTACCCAGTCTTTCAATTCTGTCTCTTTAAGCCCAAATAGCCACAGCTTCCAGTTAGACAACACTGGTGTATGGACCACAGTAAAAGCCTAGACTAACATCACTTTCTGTCTTCAGTCCCAGTGCCACCATGTGAGTGGAATCAAGCCTTCTTGGTGACAGGGACAAGCCAGGCTCAACTCTTGATGTCAGCCTCTTCTCACACCCTTCTAATACAGCAGTGCTCAACGTGTTTGGACACTGCCCAAACCAATGAGACCCTTGCTCACTTGCGGCTACAAGGCATAAGAGACGTGCATATAATAATGTGTTCCTGTAGTTTTGAGAAAACTCCTTAGAAAGGAACTTGGATGGGTTTCTTGCAAGGCACTGAGTCACATAAATTAGGAGAGGAAACATATGCCAGTGTTCTAATACTGAAGATGCCAAAAATGCTGCTGTCACCCACTCACATTAATGAGAATTAAAAACTCCCCCGCATCTTGATCCCACAGCCTCCTGCCTTGCCTTATAAGATACATGAAAGTCAAGGAAGATTCTTCTGGATACATTTTTTTTGGACCACATTTGCACCTCTTACATCCAATCTTTTCAGTCCCAGAATTTCAAGCTGAGGCAGGTTCTTGGGAAAGATTCTTCTAAAATTTTTTACACTGCTTTTTTTAGCAAGAAATTGTGGTGCTTCCATGGTTTGGAGCCAGACTTTGAAATGTAAGCAGGGTTTCCCTGAAGTCCTAGGTATGTATCTGTGTAAAATTTGTTCTATATATAGACTAACAACATGCTCTGAAAAACTGATTGCACATACTGAAAGAAAATTCTGCTGCTCAATAGTTATATGTGCTGGAAATTGCCTGTCAGCTCCCCTCAACTCCAGACAGACTATAAAAACACAATAGTGACTGCACATGCATGGGCACAAACTTTTAGGGGAGCAGCTATGGCTCACTTTTCCAACAAGGAAAAAAAAAGCAAACACAAATTTTGTCTTCATCCACACTGAATGCAAGAGGATTTTGTATGTAATCAAAGTGCTATTTATTGTTATATTTTTCCACTCTTACATTTTTTTGCTATCAAAAACAGCTCTAGCACTTGTAGATCTACTTTCATATAAAACTGTCACTGAGGTCTTCTTTTTTTTTTTACTACATTGAACACTCAAAGATGCAGCTGAAGTCAACTTGGACTCTGATTTGAGCATATTAAATAAGTCATGTGTGTATGACTGTGTGCTTAGGGACTTTGAGAAATAAGGTCCTAAATGTTTAAATTTGGGCATCCAAGAATAAAATTGGCAATGCATAATTTGACCTTCACTTCTCTATGAGCTTCGATCTCTGACTGTAAGTATAAGATGAAAGTACCAGCTATAGGATGCTATGAAGACAAGTTCTGAAACATTTAAGTAATTTCTGGATGACACATCAAGGCAATGTACCAATGAGGAAACCAGTCATTTTGAGTTCAATGTAGAAAAATGGATTATGTATATTAAGCAAGGACCTGGAATCATTCTCTGAACAAGACATTTACAAAGCTATACACGAAATGAAAGAAAGGTCACTCTTTGGGGTGAGGTTTAAAAAAAGTGGTGTTACATAACTCAGGCTTGATGAAAGCAGGCACTCTTACAAATCTTCCCATACTTGGATTTGCAGCCTTCACAGTTTTTAGGTACAGTTTGCATCTAAATACCCAAACCAGATCACCATGAAATACAAGAATTTCTGTGAGGAGGGTCAGGAACATCTGTTTCTCTGCAGGAGATTACAAATCAGCACTGATGCTCGTGCAGAGAGAAGAAAACAATGCAACTCATCCCATATGCCCGGAATATGAAGATTTCAGAGATAATATCATGTAGGTAGGTAAATAGTTTTAGACCAGTTAGCTTTAGGGAACTAAGATTATAAAATAACAGAGAAGAGGTCCTAAAAGAACGGAAAATATTATTAACAAAGCCATTCTCATGACTTCATCCGCAACAAGAGATGTAAATCTGTCCAAATTTAGCCAAACTAAGGAGAACAATTCAAGGCTTGACAACTTCTTGTCCCTGAGTGGATCATCCACAGCTGCACCCTCCCTTTTAGCAGCTGTTTTCAGCACCTACTGGGATGGATCCTAGGAGAAAGAACCCTATTCCACACCTGCAGAACAATTCCTGGCTCTTTTACATAAAGCACTGCAGGAAGATACAGGAGGGACAGAAATGGCTTGGCTCTCTTCAAACAAGCAGCAGATGTCTTTATGCATGAGCAGTGTGTGGGAGACACTCTCTAGCAAATTACAGTGCTACAGGGTCTGGCTCCATGAAATTAGAGATTGGATCCGGAGATTAGAAACAACACATGCCACTCAATTAGCAATACATTGGCTGCCAGACAAGCTCTGGGGCCATTTTTCACGATCGTGGGTCTTATCTTGAAAACCAAGTTTCCTCCCACTTCAGTGCTACCATCATGTTTAGTGGTAATATTCAGCCATCACTTCAAATGCCTCTAAACAGAAGGTGTTACCAGTGTGCTCACCTAGTACCTACTCCTTGGAATTTGCCTTCAACAAAGAACATGCTGAGCATAAGCCATGACTGACACTCCATTCTCAGCTAACATCCAATTCAAAGCTCAGCTATAGATCATTTTCTGCCACGTATCCTTTGAGAGTCACCACTTGAGACACACAAAATACTCAGAAATGAAGAAATGAGAAGAAGCTGATTCCCCCTCCAAAGGAAGCAGTATTTCCTAAAATGATAGATATTCTGCAGTGTCAGATGATCAGAACAGCGTACAGTAACTGCAATGGTAGCTAGTAGTCCAGAACAAACTAATACTGACTCTTGAGCTTCAACAGTAAGTTCTACGAGTGTCATGTTCCTGGTCACGGCCTCCTGTCAAAGCAGTCTTTCACAGACAAAAGACAATTTGGAGAGTTGGGCTGCAGTCTTTTGTTTGTTATGCATCACTAATCATGTTTCCTTGGGCAGTGGAAGAGCTCAAGGAAGAATACTAAAAGGTTTCTCAAACACACCACAAGCTAGGAGACAGTTTAGCAGCTGACATCAAAGGCCCTGCATTTTACATCGTGCTGCACTGTCATGGTAACTGTTCTCCATCATCTTTCTTTGACACTAATCAGATCAGATACAGCTATTTTTCACATTTCGATTGATCTCTTAACTTTAGTGTTTTCCTTTTTCCCCGTAAAATCATGCTACAGTTTTGTTTTATTCCCCTCACACCTTACCTGTTAGTATTCTCCAAGACTTCGACCTTCTTACGCAGCTCACTATTTTCATTTGAACAGTTCTCAACTCTGGAAATAGAAGAAAGAAAGATGGATATAAAAAAAATCAGTCCTTTATTCAAGACATTCTGAAACAAAACAAATTTGCTTTCACAGAGAGCTCTGTGATTCTGCCTGCATTTACAAAAAGTTACACCAACTGACTTTAGTCATAATCTTTAATCATGCTCCAAGGTGCAGAAGACATTGCATTAGATACTACTCGCTATAAAGCATCTGCTTACAGTGCTCAACTACAATCAAGTAGGTGCAGCTTCTTCAGGGTAATCTGTAACTACTTTTTGCCCCCTTGAAATAGCAACGGCAAAGACCCTGCTCCAACCTTCTCTGTGCATCAGGCCACAGGACAGATACTTAAAAGTCACTGAACATGTTCCATCTGTATTGTTAGCAATTATTTTGTGCAAGGGTGTTCCATGTGTGCATTTCATTTCTAGGATGAGGCACCAAATAATTTAACAAATACCATGCTTCTGAGGTCAGATCCTTGAGTTTCATAGAGGTTCAAGTAAAAATATGGCATTCCTAAAAGACAACTATGCTATTACCTGCCTGAATAGCTTTCAGAGGAAAAAGGTGAAGGAAATACTTTCAAATCTGTTTATGTATGCTAGAATTTCACAAAAGTCTAACTCTGAGAAAGCAAGGCTCACCCATAAAGACATGAGAAGAACAATAGGAAATTTAATCAAGGATATCACCAAAGATGGTACACAAGATTTAGCAGATCCATCTGGTGAAGTGCATAAGAAAAATACCAGGATACTTGTCTCTTGGAAGACAGATTAATTTGGGATATAAATCACTAACTGGGGATTTGGCTCCTTCTTGTTAAAGGAAGTCAATTGGTCACATGTTGTTTTCCTGAGTCCTGCTTATTCTCCCAAGCAGTCTTGACTCACCCACTTCCAATTTCTGTCTCCATCTGCGCTAGAAGACAGAATATACTCACTCTGACCCTGCCTTTCCCTGGACACTGCCCACCCACTAGACCAACACAGCTGCACAAGAGAAAGGCTGGCAGTAGATGGGTCTTGCCTTATTTGAGGTTTAAGGTCTTTGGCAGCACATTACCTAAGCGCTGGAGATAGACACAGTTATGTACGGAGCATCTCAGCACATGTACCACAGAAGCCAGAAGGGCCTTTTCTCAGTCACAACCACGAGATGGCAGCTGGCACTTTGTGCACGAAACAGTCCCAGCATCAACAGCTGGATCCCTTCCCATTGCAGCAACCAGTGCTATTGGAACGTTTGAAACAGGAAGGAGGCTGGCTTACTTTTTTTCCAGACTGTCCATGTATTCTTTCTTTTTTCTTCTACTTTCCTGGGCAGAGATCTAAGGAAAAGGGAAGAAAAACACCAAATATTTGCAAAGAAAAAAAAGCAGCAGAGATGAATTAATAAACTGGTAAAGAGCCCTGACATTATTTGATTCAAGCCTCGGTACTGTTCTCATTCCTATTCCTGGCAAGCAAAGCACTGACTTGGTTTGTTTCCACATCCTGAAGCAAGACTGCTCCCTCTCAGTAGTAGGAAAAAGATCACTCTGCTCTTACAGAACTATCCTTAAAAAGCAAATCAGATTCATCTGCAGAGTATCTTAGGGCAAATACTAAATACTAAAAGATGATGCCAGGAGAAAATCCTGAAACTGGGAGAAGAAAAACCCATGCATAGGTTAGAAAGCAGCTTTGCAGAAAAAAGACTTGGGGAATCCTGATGGACAACCAGACAAACATAAGTCAACTATGCGCCCCCACAGCAAAGAATGCCAGCCAGAGCCAGGGCTATGTTAGCAAGACTGTAGCCAGCAGGTCAAGGGAAGTGTCTCTTCTCCTCTATTCAGCATCTGCAAGACTGCAGTCAAGAACTGTGTGAAGTCTGGGGCTCTGAAATAAATACTTTGGACATACTGAAGCAAGTCCAGAGGATGGCCATGGCTATCCAACAAGTATGCTGGAGCCCACCACATATCAGCAGAGGCAAAGAAATCTGGATTTGTTCAAATTTAAGAAGATAAGGAGGGAATCTTATTGCTAAAACAAAGATGAATTAAATCTTCTCAGAGGTGTATATCAAAATGAGAAGAGCACTGAATACAAGTTACAACAAGAGAAATTCCAACTAGACATTAAGCTTTTACTTTATTTTATTGTTTTTAACTAGAAAAACAGCCTAATCTGGAAACAGGTTGCCCAGAGAGAGGCTGAGAACACAGCACTCAGACAATAAAATGCGACTGGACAAGCCACTTAGTAACTTGATCTAAGCTGCCTGCTTTCACAGCAAGGAGTTGGACCAAAGGACCTCCAATGATACCCTTGAATACAAATGAGTAATTATATGTAAGTGGTACATAAAAAGCACAAGGAAATTTAAAATATTTTTGAAAAATTATGTTAGACCAAATTTCAATTCAGTGTGGGTAAATTTACACCTGTCTGCCAAACCAGTAACAGAATGCATTAACCTTCAAAAATGTGCTAATATCATCTAGAACAAGCAAATTTGCCAGGTCTGAAAAAATGCTTTCCTCCCCATCACTAGCCCTTTGCCATCTTGGGAGAAAGAGGACTTGCAAGGCATTTCACAGCCTTGATATCAACCATTCACCTAAAGGTCACAGAATTCAGTGATCAAAAGACTCGAGTGCTGAAATACGCAGTCAAACTTTAAAACATGAAATGGTGAAAAACACGTTCATCACCATGGAAAGGACACAGAGGTTCTTTGCCTACTCATAAGAAAAAGATTGTACTGTTTTTAGAATGGAGCCAGGCAACAGCAACTTGATACTCTACTTACTAAATACTCTATTGTTCGTGTGTTCAGGTAAATACCTTGACAGAGAGGCACTGTCACAGTGACAGACAATTTGATGGATGTGTTAAGGAGCAAAGAATACTTTGTTAAAAGATATCTTACAGGATTCAACAGTACTACAGACCACTGCTACTGAAATGTTGCAAAAATTTTTAGTGAAGGATGAGTAGGTATTACCCAGCAAAACTGCTAAACAAACATTTATTTACCTTGTTCTTTATTTTTCTGCGGATTTTCTTCAGCACTTTCTCCTCTGCCTTTGTCAGGGGCAGTTTGGTAGGGATTGGGTACCCCTCTGCTATCAGTGTCCTCTTCTCCTCCTCTGTCAGGATGAGCGGGCCAGTCCCCTGCAATTTCTGCAAGTGTCACAGAAATGAAATAACATCACAGTAAGAGCACTCAGCCCTAGAGAAAGGGGGTTAGGGAACAGTGCAAGTCAGCAGCTCTCCCACTTCAGAGCGGATTCTGTCTACTAACCCAGCAGTTTCTTGCAATTGGGAGTGTGTGGAAGGGGAAGACCTTTTAGGTAGCTTCCATTCAGAGACTGAACCTTTGGGGCAGGATTGCCTCAAAACAGTTGCTTTCAGCCCAGCTCTGCGGCCAACAGAAAAACTCCCCTTGGCTCAAATGGGAAGGAGACAAATGAGAAGCACTGCTGAAAACCCCTCCCTAAAAATCACCACTTGATTTCCAAGACATAGCAACAAGTGGACAGATCTACCAGTGACAAGTTAACCCAGCAGAGCTGGGTGCTAATGCAAAACACAAACCATGATGGGAGAAATCTCCTAACACTGCTCAACCCTGCCTCAAGTCAGAGGAGAGGCACGCACCATTCCCAGTGGGAACAGGATAGACAAGAGAGCAAGAATTGCTGGATCTCCAGTTTTGACCAGAGATGGGCACATCCAAAGAACAACAGAAATTAGAAAATGTATGCAAAAACAGTAATTAAAAAACGAAAAACAGATTCTAGAAAAAATGAGCCCAACTTACATGTGGTGCAGTCAGGAGAGGGGAATTGGAAAGCGCTGAAGCTGTGCGCGACGTGACTTTAGCCGTGGCTTGCAGCTGGATCGGGCTTGAAGGAGGGAGAGATCTAGCTGGGCTCTGCCCTCCTTCAGAGTCACTGCCATGACTGCTGGGAGGGGTTGGAGGCAAATGCAGGGGGTCGACTGCTGAATGGCAAGAGAGAAATACAATGTAAGATTTGGAGGTGCTAACCTAAACTTCCACTAGAGCCACTGCCGCCACCTCCACCACCAGCTTTCCAGGGCTAGGACTGTCCGCTAAAAGAAGGGTCAAGCAAAAGTGGAAACTTGAAAGATTTTCAGAGCATGCAGGTCTCTAAAGGAGGCATGAAACACAGCAGCTCTCTTTAGGTTCAACAGACAAAGCAGGGCTATGCTCATGTGCTCTGATTATTTCTACCTACCCCTTCAGCTTCTCCAAATGCCTTGAGATTTAAGTACAAACCTCCAGTACAAGTATCCTACTTGGGAAACCACATTAGCAGAGAGGGCTCTGAGCCACTAGACCTTATTTCCAAAAACAACAGCCTTTCCCAACCTTGCTATGGCTTTAACAAATTGCCAGTATTTTTCAAGAGAAGATAACATGCCCAAGATGTTACATTAACGGTAAGAAAAGAAATATTTTAGCCCCTAAGGATCTAGTCTGGCACAACTGGCAGGTAGTGACAACCTTGTGATGGCTTTGCCATACTGATGGAGCAGGAATAGCATAGGTAGCCACCGCAGGAACCTCTTTCACATTGTGCTCTCCAGAGCCATAAGGAAACTTGTGCTGCACTTGCAGCCAACAGAACTTGTGCTGCAACTGGCAAGCAAAGTGCTGCTTATGACCAAATGGGGTCTGGACCAAGAGAAACGGTGCAGTCTCACCTACTCAGATTACATGGACAACTTAGTTATGGCTCTTTTGGATGTCCACTAACTCATTTTTCCTCTGAGATAAATTTACAGCGATCACAACTGGGAGTAGGAAGATACAGGGCTCAATTTTCCACCTTCCACTTCTTTTACGCTTTGCAAATTTGAGTTGAAAAGACCAAATGGGTGTGGGGAGAAGAAGGAAGAAAAACAGTAACAGAAAAAGTTATTACACATTAGGTCTTTTTGGCTAGCATCTTAACTCTGGTTGCCAGATGTACACTTGTAAAACAGTAATGCCCTTAATTGCACAAATTGAGCAATCCCATCTATGTTTTGGATTAAGATATAGGCTTTTTTTTTCCACCTGCTAAGTCAATTGCCTCTCTTCCTAGAGCAGTTCTACTTGTCTACATAAACGAGTTCACTAACAGAACACCAAGTGTTCCTAACTGAGATACAGTTATCTCCTTAAATTTCAGTCAAAATATTTGGCTTTTTCAAACTTTTCCCAGGTTAACAGATTATACGCCACAATTCCATGTTTTACATTTGGGGCAGGGAAGATCACTCCTTCCCCCTCAATTTATATATTTCAAAAGGACCCTGATGGTTTTTAAACCTGAACTATAACAAATATGCTAAAACCAGATGTGCCTAACTTAATTTCATATACACTCTCTTCCTTGCTTTTGCAGCAGAGGTCAAAGAGGTTAAAACCAGCCAAGTTTCCACTTGTGCTCTTCATATTTTCTGTGCCTTAGGCAAGTTCCCTCAAGTTGATTTCTCTTCTAACCTAAATAATCCCATACTTTAAGGATTCATGCTCCCTCCAGCAACTGCGTTAATTGTTAGGACGTTGCAGACAAAATAGAGATCATTTTCTTTGTGATGTGCAAGACAAAAACAAAGAAAAGGAAGATATAAATGGGTCAGAAAGGCTGGCTTTTTAACTGCCTGAGTCAAATCCCTAGAAGGCAACAGCTTCAGCCTAAAGTTTAACATGGTAAACAAGGAAGCCAAATATTTAATCAGGGTAAAGTACATTCATCGCACATTCTGGTCATCTCCTTTGCATGTGTTGGGTTGGTAATTAACAGACCTTCCTTAGAAGAGAGGTTCAGAAACTGATCCACTTCATGGGGCTCCAATTTAATCTCTGGAAGCACTTTCTGGCTCAGTGGTTTCATCTAGAAAAGACAAATTAACAGCATGAAAACCCAAAGCACACTTCTTGAGGTCTTTATAGAAGGATACAAGGATGATTTCTCCATAAATGGAGAGCTTTCCCTCTCATACTCTGCTACAGGCCAAGCCTGAACTGCTTCACACAGTTTTGCTAAGCCAGGCTACAGAGAATGCTGCCCTGACTAGTCCTGCCATGGCTTTTCTTATTACTATATTTAGCTAAATAAAAGATTACGCCTCAGAGATGACATTTCAGACTGAAAGCTAGCAGGCAACCCACTCAAATTACTTCTCTTAGCAACAGAGCTGCCGCTAGGATTTGCCGGACTGCACAGCCAGTTTGAGCAGAGACAGAAATGCTCCTGGCAGCAGGGGAGAGCCTGTTCAAGGCCATTGTCACCTGGGAGCGAGATCCAGGTGCCACTCACTGAGCCCTGGGTTGTCAGACCCAAGTTCATGTCACAGTTAGGAGAAGGAACAGAGACAGCCATGGCCAACAGACTTTTGGAGGACACCTGACTTGTCCTGCTGACAGGGCTGGTTCACCAGGCTGCCAAGCTGCTGGCCAGTCTGCCTGAATGCTGCATTCCCAGGCTTGAGGAAGTCAGTCTGGCACATCAGCATGCTCAGTGCAGCCAGAATCTCTCCCAGTACCCTGTGTAACTAATCCGTGCGATCGTAATGAGCCACCAGTTAGTCCCAAGATGCTCTTTGTAGTATCAAGCATCTCAAGCCACAGCGAGGCTATGTACTGGGGACAGTGCATGCAGGCTACAAGAGAACTATGGGAGAGATAGTGTTTCAGTTTTCCCAGTTTCTCATGAAACAGTTTATGTCGCACATATTTCTGACCCACATCCTAGTGGGAATGTTTATTTCCAACATTTTCTAGCTCCAGATGGACTGGGCTGCCCTCAAACCCTGGGGAATGGGAATGTCACAGTACTTTCTCCACTGGTGGGGAGCTCTGGTGAGCCATCAGCTGCTGCAGTTTGTTCTCCTAAACAGCCAAACTAAGCCCTTGTGAATGCCCACTGGCTGCTCCAGCTGTGGTCAGAAAGGGATCACAAACGCCTTACTAGGCAGGCTGGAGTGAAAGCAGCAGCACCTCAAAATGTCAGTTTGACAGGCCTGGCAAAAGTGACCTAGTAGGCAAAAAGGAAACACTCCAGTCACGTCAAACAAGGAGTCTCACCCTGATGAAGGGAAGGTGCAGCACTAAAGCAAGTCATTGTTGAAGACATTTAGCTTGTCAGGGCAAATGGGTTAGTCACTTTAGGTGAGGAGAGGAGAAGAGAAAGTCTGCAAGTACCAGGGCATCAGCCTGCAGCTCGGCTTGCTCCCCGTCCAGCGACGTGGCCGTGACAGTGAGACTGACGGAGGGAGTAAGGCCTGACGTCTCGCACAAGGCTGGCTCAGTCTTTATTGCTGCTGGAGTCAGCTCGGTACCCAGACACCATTCCTCATTTTCCAGGTCACCTGCCAGGGAAGGAAATTGGACACCACATGTTTAGGTCAGAGACAGAGAGACTACAAACGAAAATAATGTCATCCCTCCTGCAGAGAAGGGAAACAAACACAGAAGGTATTTCAGTCCATCAGCAGCGCTCTGCCCTTACCATTCAGCTCTCAGTCAATGCAGACAACTGTTTTGGGGCTGTAACCTAATCTTAGCCCCAGGATACAGAGAGGAGCAGTGAGGAAAGACACAGAGCACTAATCACTGCACGCTGCTGAAAGCTGCTAACGCCAAGCAGAGCAAGACTAAACAAGCCTTCAGGTAGAGCAGCCAAGGAGCCACATCCTACACACGCTAATGCCTGTTGACTCAGTTTTATTCCTCCTTGCAGAGCCAGCCCTCTGCTCCTCTCACTGCCGGCAGTCACCACATACCTGGAGTGGTGGCATTACACTTCTAAGAACAAAGGATTTCACACTTTCAGGAGCTTTCCCCAATGACTCATTTAGTAAGTATAAAAGAAGGCAGTGGCTTTGATGATTTCACAGGAGCACCAATGGCACGGTGATGACGCTCATTTCCTCCCCAGAGCATCTGGGGGACACAGCAATGGATGCGTATTTTGACTGGCAGCAACAAAACATGCATTGGCAGAGCTGGCCCCAGTCCCCACTTACTGCAAGCTCACTAATCAGGAGAAAGCCATGCAACCTTTAATTGAATAAAGTTGACCAGTTTGTCTTGCACTGTCAAGCACTGGAAGAAGGTTGGGCTGGTAAGTTGCTAGCTCCCTGTCTCCATTCATGGGGTAGCGACTGGGGAGGAAAGATGTTTGGCTTGCTGAAAAGGGATTTATTTTCTTCGGTACAGAGTATGACAGAGGGCCAAGAATTCAGGATTCAATCTTTAAAATAATTTCCTAAAGCCAATAAAATCCTTATTTAAAAAAAAAAAAAGCAGATGCATTTTTAGCAGTTGCAATTCTGCCTTTAAAAAATCCCATTCCCATTGCTACTGCTGGGGTTCAGTTGTATATGGTGGTGTCTCCTTCTGCGGCAGATTACCCCACCTCATTACCCCACCCCTCCGTACTGTACCCCAGCAGCACACAGCGCGGTCCTCTGCCACAACTCGTCAGCAGCTGCGAGAGGCACGTCCATAAATCAAGCAGCTGGAATCCAAGGCCAAACACACGGAAGGGAAAAAGGTGTTGATTTTCCTTTCAGAGCTCTCTCCTGCCTTCATCCTGCCTCTCCTGCTTGCGAGGCTGATACAAGACCTTCACACATCTCGGCGGACCACGCTGGTGAAATGCCACCAGAGCCGAGCTGCAGGTAGGTAACAAAAATAAGAGCAGTCTCACAGCCTCCGTGTTCGCCTGCCCCTGCTGTTAGGACCACACAGACAGGCTGCAGGATGGGAGAGGTATGCACAGCGCCAGGGCTGGTCCTTGCTCTGTGGTGGGACCTAACCTCCGCCACTGGCAGGGAAAGGGGTAATCTGAGCAAAGGCACAGCGAGGGATTAAAAATGAAAACACCTATCCTGTAATCAGACGCTCCAGAGCTGCCAGCCCAGCTCTGCCAAGAGCAGTAGCTGTACAGCATGGGCTGAGCACCGTAGTTAAGTTGTTGAAAGGCTCACTCCCGAAGCCTTCCTGGAAACGCAGAATTATAAAAATAGAAGTATTAAAAAAAAAAAAAAAAAGAGGTAGCATTGTCTAAATATTAACTCAGGAGAGAGGACGTTGCTCTCTTCCCACCCTCCCTCCTGCACCTCCCTCCTTACACACACAAAAACGCCATTCCCTCCCCCTGCCAGTTGTAGAAGTATTTGGTGGACTCCCTCTCGATTGGTGTGTGTAGATCATTCAGATAAGAGCTTTAAAGGAGTAAATTTGCCTGAAAATCCCGAATCCCTTGGCAAATGCAGCTTTCAAATGTTTATTTGGATAACTTCTGCCAAAGCCTTCCCCTCGTGGTACTGCGTGGAGGCTCCGCTTGCTGCCTGTCTCACCTCGGGGTCGAGCTGCACTGTGGCAGTGCCAGCAGCATCCACAAGCTACCTCAGCCTCCCTTAGGGAGGGCAGGCTAATTTTAAACGGGAATTGTCAGTGAACCAAGTAATTAGCCCTGAGCTTCCTGAGATTTCTATCATCATGCAAGTCGAAGAGGCTTTTTCCAAGGCCATGGGTGCCCAGCAAAACAGGGCACGTCCTCTAAGGCTGCGGGTCTTGATGTTTATCACCTCTCATACCCCAGCTCATCACAAGGGCTCAGCTGCTGTAAGGCAGCAAGACATGCTAGCCTTCAGCCTGTCTCCGTCCTCCCTGGAACCTGACCGTGCTGACAGACCTGACGTCCCTGCCACCGCCACTTAGCTCCGCACTACCTGCTCCGAGTTATTCGAGGCATTAAAGCCAGTCTAACCAGTTCACAGGGTTACAGATGGTTTTTGGAGACAGCAACTCAGTGCATTTGACACTGAGGTAGCTTTGAAGGACTGCATTTAACTCTTCTTTGACATTGCCTTTCATGCATGCGTGGTGACAGCTGTCATTCCAGATGAACCCTCTTGAAGAGCAGTGATGGAGCAGCACACTGGTCAAATCCTACCTCGACACTCCCCTCTCCCTGCTTTTTCCAAGCCCCTACAACACAGTCACCACCTTGGTCACCAATGAATCACTTTCTTCTGACGTCTTCCAGCTCCTGAAGTAGCCGGTGATCTCTCCTCCAAGCCAGGAGAGCTGCAAGTACATTTCCCCTTCCCCTTTCCCCTCTTTCTGAGCACAGTAGTATGACACTACCCGAAAATCATTATAAGTTAATTATTCTAACAACCCCTAAGAGCTTTAGTCTACTCTGCAAAGCCCTGTACTAGCCGAACAAGGAGCCCTTGCCCCAGACTCCTTGAGAATACCGCACAAAACAAGATACATTTAGGCACACAGGGGAAAAATTGACCAGACTACACAACACTGGTCATATTGAAAGGCATGGCACACCCTTCATGACAACATTATTTCTGATGGAGAGGTCTGAAGAACCATGACAGAAGGTTTATGGGGGATGAGAAGAAGCAAGAAGGTGCACATGAAACCTTGAAATGAAATATACACTGGAGGAGAAGGGCAGCGTCTTCTCCAAAACAAGCGAAACGTTGTAAGAGTAGACCACCGGGGTCTGGAAGTTAAAGGTGAGTATTCATCTTAATATCTGTCATGATCTAGGAGGCACACATGAAGTATTGAGACAGAGTCCAAAACAACAGGCTGAGAAAATGCCCTTGGTGACTGTATTGTGGATGGATATGGACAGGGCAGCACTGCATTGCCAAGTTGAGATAAAATACACTGCAAACCACTCAAGAATAAGAAAAGAAAGCCTGAATGAGAGATTTAGATATCAAAATGGCTAGGAAAATCCACAGCCTAAAGATGGTCACTTTGGCTGTTAAAGATCTCTTCTCAGCCTTCAAATCCCTGACACCAAGGTTCACTGCTGAGCAAATGATCCTAGCTGCTAGGACCCCTTGCCCAGATGAAATTTCCTATGAACTTCACAGCTCTGTCATGCAATGACTCTCTAGCTGAGAAGCGTCCCCCTTCACCTACCTTCTCAGTAAGTCCACGAATGCCAGGCCTTTTGGCACATGAAATCTGTCACTTAAGCCATCCATATACTTTGTGAAACCTCAGCTAAAGATCCTACGTGCAATGCACTAGCACTGTTAAATTGCACATACAGCGTATGTTAACTGAACGTTACAGCTGCAAAGCACCCCGGTATTCAGAAATACCCATGAAGGTTTATTTCAGTGTGTCTTTGCATATTACATAAATCTAAAAATAGCAATGTTCCTAATGTGATTGAAAACGTTCTCTGCAGCACCTGAACCTTACCCAACACACAGAGTGCACGGCACTCCCTTAGCTGGGGTGAATACCATGTTTTGTTATTCCCATTGCCTCTTGCACAGCCTCAACTCTCCTCTACCAAATACATTTCAAATTCAGTTCCTACAGAGTTGTTTAATTCCCTCCTAGGGAACAATCAAAATGCTTCACCAACTGGAATTAATTTCCACAGCAGTCCTGAAAATTCAACTGAGCCACAGAGAGATTAAGGCCAAAAAGTATCTATTAATTTAAAATGACCAACTGGAGACAACCGGAATTGGATTTTTAAGATGATTTAGCACTGTTATTATACTTCACTTTATCAAAACAGTATGCATTGAGTTCAGGTGCAGCTGTGAGCATCTAGCACTTCTGCAAGTTAAACTTCCATTTCAAATCAAGCATCCAGAAAAACAATTCACCACAGTACCCGAGAGTTTGTGACATGCATCTAAGATCTCCCACGTCCAAGACCAAAATTACATTTCTTTAGAAAGCTTTTATGTGCTGCTTTGGTAATTAAGCTGCCTCACTTTTCCTGCAGGCTCTTGCTTAGCATGCCTCTTCTACCTTCTGTTTTTTAAAAAAAAAAAGAAAACAAAAACAAAACACAACAAAACAAGGCAGGAGCCTTACAAAGCACCAAAGAAATTCAGTCAGCGTACTGAACAGAATTGTCACTGATAGGAACAGCTTTTAATATGGACTTTTCTTTGCCAACCGAGCTCATCGTGTGTCCTGCATTGTCCCAGGTACAACGCTGATAACATGTTGTAAGAACCGGTATATGCAATAGCACAGGAGAAGAAGCTCAAAATAAGATGCAATTCCCTCTTTGTGTGTTTAAGTACTGCACATGGTGCATATTTACACAAACTGTCCAAGTAGCAAGCAAACCCTTTCTGTCCTCCACCTTTAGTTTAGAGCCCCTAATCCTACCCCAGGTTCAATCATCTGCAGTTAAAATGGACGATGCTAGTAGGACCTACCCAACATACCACAAGTGGACTTTCCCTTTTTCCTTTCCTTGCTCCACATCCTTATACCCAAAAGGGAAAAGATTGTTCAACGTTTTGCTCAGTGAGAGCTTAAGATCTTTAAAATCCATTATGAAGACTGA